CATCATAAATTTGAAATCATATGTAATCATATAATCTTTTCTGTTCCCCAAATCAATTAAAAGTCTTTCATTTACATATTTTGATGATACATTAAACTATATATCATGACTGGCAGCTTATATCTACCTAGATTATGTCGACTCGTCAAATGTGTATATAGGCATTTTATGATTTTTGCGTATTGTGTTTCCCTAAATCTGTTGTACGGTCACTAGAGCAAACAGCAGATGTAAACAAAGAATAATGACCTAGACAATATTAGAGAGGGTTCGTATGTTCCGTATGATGGTTCTACGGTTTGTGGAATCTGATAGGGTGCTCAGAAAGCAAATGCCTGGGATTGCTGTTTAGGTATCAACCTAAACGCTGAACTCAAATATGATTCTACTATATCTGAAAGAATGACACTGATACTTAGCGTTTACAGTATAACAAACTCGTGATAGTAGTGCAGGATTTCGTTCTTATTTTCAAATCAATTCATGTGTCAGATACATCTAAGTAACTTATAGCGTAGTATTGTTAGTTATGTGTCTAACTGGCGGTACTGTTTGGTCGGAAGGGAAAACAGTTAAGTTGTGGAAACCTGAAACGAGATATAAGCTTTATGATATATTACAAATGTTAGATACATATAAGTCCACAAGTTCCTCTCAAATATGTTAAAGGTTGTCAATACGGTTGCTGTTAGATTGGTTCATGGTTCACTGTGATAAACATATGTGTTTGGCCCTAACGGTTGTCTAGCATGTATAACGATTACGGAATCTTATGAAAAGCGAAACTGTACCATGTGCATGTTATTTTTACTTGAACAATTGCCTTCTACTTCATTGTAATCGATTGTGTTGTCAATATAGTAAATAACGGAGATTGTCTGTAATTTCATTGGATTGAGTATTGTTGAGATAGAGAATGAAAGATTGGCATACATTTAACCCGAATTGTTGCAGACAGTTGCACTTCAATCCACCTAAAGACATCTGGACAGATATCGACGCCATGTTACTCCTGCAACTGCACCTACAACAACTGCACCAACACTATCATAGGCAATTGGAAGTTGCAAACACTATTCCTGGACTTCGTCTCTCTCAACTTCCCAAACAGCGCTAACTGTGATCTCGGATGGTTTACCATAGATGGAGGTCCAAAAATGTGCACTTCAACCCCCTTTAAAACAACCTGTAAGCAGAAATAATTATGCTGTCTGTATGATTTTCTAACAAATTAATCTATGTTGCTTTCTTTTCACAACTTCAGAGGTAACTGTTGAAAGGGATCAATAAATATATATCTGAAAAGTCATCTAAAAGTCTGACTAATTGATATTTCAAATACTAGACTATTTTATTTTCAAAAATTCAATTTAGTACAAGATTTTAAACACAGTTGTAAACTCAGGTTTCAATATTTCAACGTGATTTCCCAAATAACAATAATGAAATCAGTTTGTCTTTAAAATGCATTTTCTGAATAACATTATGTTATTATCTGTTCGAAGTGCAGGCGTTGTGTTCTAAGACCATTTTGTGAAATATGCACACATATTTGGTGACGAGCACATGGAGATGAATAACCCTTTGTCATTGAATCTGTAAATTTTTCGAAAAGTTGTGAGATGAAGATTTGCAGATCTTTCTTTTTGGGGAGGCATTTCAAACATTGTAAACAGTTGATCATGAGGCTCGCTTTGGTAATAATACCATTGAAATGCGTTTGCCACTGACCATCATTCGGCAAAAGTTAATTCTGATTCCATCTTGATTGCGTTCATAAAAAGGTTCTGGCATTGGAGTTTTCTTTCTATGACAAGTTAGGAAGAAAAATAACGTTCAAGATTGTTGCCCATTTGGATCAATACTATCAGTTTATTTTCTATAGCTGTATATGAAGACGCACTTGAAGATTCTGGGTATCTGATAATGATATCTATATAGAGCTGCATCATCATCAAGTTATTCAATATTACAATGACTATCTGCTATATAGAGGTTATCACACGTGTTTTGGGATTGCCAATATCCTGTATTTGTATAAACATTGTACTAAATGCAAAGTGTTTATCCCTTAATATATCATACCAAAACACACACAAGCGATAACCTCTTTATAATATAATGTCATTAAATTGTTACGCCTCAAAACTCATTGATAAGTCTACCAGACAGTGTAAAAACAGTCAATATACTTACAGCTGAAACCTGTTGTAGGCAGTGTCCTAACTAGATACGGGCAAAGTGCCAGTTGCCACATGTATACCCGCATATAAGGACACTGATCATGGCACGGCGCTAGTGTCCTCGTTAAATTTATATCATCAAAGTTCCCAAAAGGCGTAAAATGCCTCAGCTACGTCCCTATCACACACTGATTTTCGGTATCCTAGACTAATATTTTGTAGTGATAACAGTTATATGAGTTATTTGTCCAGGTCCCCGATAGTAAATTCTGACTCGATCGCTGATAGAGAAGGGCGGTGCCATGTTGTTTACAAAGACTGAAAGAAGAACCTTCGAAATTCCTGACCTTTTACCTTTATCTTTACTGGTATAAAAACCAAACGGATACCGTTTTTTATCAATTGTCTTTATCTCATTGTGACACGTACCAATTATATGATACCTATCATTAAAACCTGAAGTTTGAGGGACTTCCGTGAGCATAGATTTTGATAATATATGCATAGCCGTATATTACAGTACATTGTGCTACATGTTAAAATTGCTCTCAAACCATTTCAAAAGAGGACCCTTTGTCTCACAAAGACGTAATGTCTGTATAAATAAGGCTGCAAAACCCTTTCTCTATTCAGAAATCTCATCCAAAAGCAGATTCTGTTGTACGATTCCGATTATATCATGAACATCTGTTTGTTAAATTTGTGTTGCAAGTAAGATTAACAGACTCTTGTTTTGTTTCAGATGCATTTTTTGGCAGTGTAGATATTGTGACCAGTGGTGGAGATCGACCTGGAGACTCTTGTGCCGGCTTTGTTGTCAACTACGTTGTTCAAGGTAGAGTTTGTGTACTTGGTTTCAAATAAGAACTGAACATTGAATAACAATATGGACATGATAAGTCCAGGAGTGAAGTGAATAACTTCAGAAAGTTTTGTGTGCATCTTGATTCCAACTAAATGATACAAAAGTGTCAGCTGAATGGCAGACGACATGAACACTAAATACAAAAGTAACTCTTGCTTTTATGCACAATATTATTAGAACTGATTACAGCGTCATGAGAAGGAGGTTTAAGATACGATATTCTTTTGGCATGGACGCACACGGTTGCATTAATAGTCATCAGTGATTCGTAAACACAGGCATGCTATTATATTTCTGAGAGAGGGATGTCACAGCTCACAATAATTGTGTAATTAAAAATGTTTAGCCTAAATGTAATATCTTGACCCCCCAAATGGCATTTGTAACCAATGCTTTGACATAGAGACAGGTGCATGAGAGACAGTATGCCTGTGACAATTATCTATCAATCATCATCAATAATCTTCCATTCCAAGGGGCCATATCATGCAAGTCACATTTTTACGGGCATAGGAAACGTTATCAACCAATATTGTTTGTTTCCTGAAAACAGGACCAATATTAAGGAAGATACTTGCATTGTCATAAGACATGAACAAGTTATGAGTACAAAAATGAAGGTAATGTGTGCATAGTTTGGAGGATTGGAACAGCTGTTCAGTAATCTATCAACCATCAGTTAATATCTTGTCTGCCACCATGGGCATCATGACACGCCCCAACTCGACGATAGGCAGCAAATGTGAGACATCTGATCAGAAGAAATGGGATTCGACACCGTTCTTCTCGGAGGACCTGTGCTAACTGATTCGTGTGATCAGGGCATCCTGGTTGTGCTCTTACGGTGAAGGTAATCCCACAAGTGTTCTGTAAGTGATAAGATTGGTGATTGTGCTGCCTAAGGCTCGACGTTGTATGGTGCCTTGTGTTATTTTGGTGAACAGGGTCCGGGGATTCTGTTGCAGGAACAGTAGTACCACGGTGTAGAGGGATTGGTTAGGGAACGCTGTTCAGTGATGTTCCCTTCCAAATTCGCCAGATCCGTCTTTACTTGAATACAGATGCCACTTTGACGTGGCTACAAATGATGTTTTGTCCATAATGCAGCCACCACAAAACGGTTAAACATCTAACGTGGCGTTCGTTCTCATCGTCCACGGAAAAAAAAAAACTCTTTCAACGTCTCCAATGAAACTAAATCTGCTTTCTGATGTGAACATCATCTTTGCAAGTTTCTGTTCTAACAACATTGCAGTGTCTGAGCCCATCGATATCGGTGTTCCGGTGGCAGCATATAGCACCTCGAATTGGTCTGTACGCTCGATATTTTACTGATGAAGTCCTCTCGGCGGTGCCCAGCGACCGAAACGTGATAATACCTTATATCCACGTTTTCCTGGGTGGATATGACAGGAGGTCTGCAACTTCGAGGCACGTCTCGCGTCCGCCCAGACTGACTGGAAGAGGACATACACCTGGTGACAGTACATGACCTAGAGCCAGAATCACTGTCACTGTCCAATGGCATGTGTGTAATGAACAGTACATCGTTCCTTATGTATCCATATCTTGGTTGGTTGGCATGCTTCAAGTGAAGCAATGCTTCCATTTCAAACTCAAGTTCCACTGATCTTGGCACTGTAGCACGTGCTTTACGAAGTAAATTATTTTCGTTATATTTTGGCGATTGATTTTCAACAAATGTAACACTGTCCGGAGTTTAGACCCAAGATGTCAAATTTTAAGTTTGTTAATGTTTCTTGTGTTAGTCAGTTGTGCTAGTTATGTCCACCATCCACAAATTTGGTAATTAAAATATACATTCCTCCAGTAGTGAGTACACGTTGACCATTTTCTTGTCAGTTGGAAGAAAACTGCACCTCAAGGTTTTGCTGCACATGTTGTTTTAAAATTGGTCTTTCATTATATAAACATGCGAAACAATACTGCTTGTTTCATTGTTCTGTTTTAAAACACCTGAAGAAAATAACATAATTCTCCCAAAATAACCGAAAAAAAGTCGACTGAAACTTTGCCAAAGAATGAATGAGAGTCTTCTGGCAGCTCTCATTTCATAGTGAATATTACGTGGGAAATATTAAGGTTTTAAGTGGGAATTGTAGATTCGGGACGGTAACGGGACTGTTTTAAAATATATATACTCTGTGCTAAATGACCCGAGTTATCCTCTTCAGTCTGGTACTGCATCCCATTATCTATATATTTAACAGAGGTAGAATAAAGTTTTCATTTCGTTTAAAAGGAATCTTACATAAATACAAACTTTTTGTATCAATGGTTTATATCTTGTAATCAAATATCAACGCCAAAAATCGTTGTGTATTTAGCACAACTTATCTGTTGCTCTTAGCTTTAGATTATAATATATTTTGCTACATCGTTATGTTATCACCGTCAGAAAAGGCATAGAAAGTGGTTACAGTCCTGTTTTCTCTCATTGTCAGATAACTGCTCGACGACGTTGACCGCAAGGGAAGGTTATATAACCAGTCCCGGCTACCCGGGCACCCCCAACAACTACCTCACCTGCACATATGTCGTCGTGGGTGATGGGCAGAACCAGAGCATCGCAATAGACCTGGTTGAGCTCGACGTTCAAGAAGGTTCCGACTGCGGCTATGACTGGCTCATTATAGACGATGGTCCGAAACTCTGCCGCTCCCTGACAACGTTTCATAAGACATGTAAGCATTGAATATATCTGAAAGGACAAACAAAGAGATAGTATAGCTGAAACGCATGATCCGTTTTTGTGATATGTCTGTGTGGCCCAAATATATGACCAAACTGTATCACCCATCTGCGTGAGCCGTGTGAGTGTGATATCACTATGTCATCTGTCAGTGCTTTCAGTCTGTGTGATCCGGCTGTGTGGTCCGACTGTGTGATGTGTCTGTACACGTGTCTGTGATTCGTCTGTCTGATCTATCTGTGTGATATGCCTGCGTGACCCGTCTGTGTGCTCTGTCTGTGTGATATGTCTGTGTGATATGTCTGTGTGATCTAACTGTATGATTCATCTGTATGGTCCGTCCATGTGCTCCGTCTGTGTGATATGTCTGTTTGATAGTTTCTGAGATCCGCCTGTACAGTATATCGGTGTGCTACGTCATTGTGATCTGTATTTGAGTTTCGTTTATGTGATTAATTACTTTTAGTCCTCGAATGACACGTGTGAAACGATATCAAAAGCGCGGTGAACTTCTTTCCAACCTAAAGTAAGAGCCTCGATTTATTACCAATGTAATGTAAGCTAACAAAAACGTTAATCATATAGTTCAATTAACGATCATCGTTCCAACGTTTTTGTTTCAGATGTCTTCCGGGAGAGATTCATCATCAAGTTTAGAAGTGATTACAGAAGCACTGGTCGAGGTTTTAAGATACATTACTCTGTTGGCATGGACGCACACGGTACACTATGTCATTATCTTAATAGACATTACTTTTCGTCATTTCTGTTCTCCAGAACAATTTAAGTATTTCATTATTATACATTCAACAACAGATGATAACTGGCAGGTTAATTATATGTAACGATGTTATGTTGACTTGTCAAATTATTTTACTCAATCTATTGTACAGTTAGAGACGCAAAATGAATAATTATGTCCAAAACAATATTAGATAAGGGTTTTTGTGTTTCGAACGATGGGTCTACAGTTGTTGAATCTGGTAGGATGCAAAGATAGGAAATGTATCTGCTTAACCGAAACACTTACGTCAAATTTGATACTTCCATATCCAAAGAGTCCTTAAGGCTTCCGGGAAAGACGAACTGACTCACTCGTACATTCTTGATGGTTCGTGAGTGTAGGTATTGGCCTTTTCGATTCAAGTGACAGATATATCTGAGTATGAATATCCTTATAGCCTTGTAGGCTTTGATATTGATAGTTATGCGTCCAACTACCGGTATTGTTTGGAAAGAAGTGGAAACTCTTAAGCTTTGTGATATAATGGAAATATCAGATACATATTAGGTACAAGCTCCTCTTTTGAACCGGATGAACAATCATATACATAAAAATAAGTAAAAGGTTCTCAGTACGACCGCTATTGGATTGATTCTCGAACACGTCATAACTGATTGACACTGGTCCACTCAAATCATTTTCACAGCTATTTTTTCCAAGTCGAATCTGTTTCGTTAGTTAATCAAGGCTGGTTATTGTCTTGCAATGACATTATATATTTTATAATCAATTGTGTAAGGCTCCAGCGATTGTTGATCATGTATGACGATTAGGAAAACAAATCTTAACTATATCGTGTGTATTATTACTTCACTTCAACCCTGGTCATCTTCTCAATTGTAATCGACTGTTCGTATTTGGCGTCAATACAGTGAATAACTGACTGTCTGTAATTTCGTGGGATTTGGTTTGGTTGAGATAGATAATGAAAGACGATTGGCATACATGTAAAACCCATGTTCCAGACAACTGCACTTCCATCCACTTAAAGACATCTGGACAGATATCGACGCCATGTTACTCCTGCAACTGCACCATCTGCAACTCCACCAACACCATCATAGGCAGTGGGAAGTTGCAAACACTAAACCTGGACTTTGTCTCTCTCAACTTCACGACCAGTGCTAATTGTGATCTTGGATGGTTTACCATAGATGGCGGACCAAGAATATGCACTTCAACTCCCTTTCAAAGAACCTGTAAGCTGAAACACTAATTCTGTCTGTATTATTTTCTGACAATTTAATCTACGTTGCTTTCTTTCTACAACTTCAGAGGGGACTGTGGGAAGTTATAGGTACATCTGAAAGTGTGACTAATTGTGATTTGGTCAATAGGCAAACTGCCTATTTCAAGACCTCTACAAGTATGTTCCAAATAATAATGACATCAATGTGATGGTTACTGGCTCACAAATGTTGCCTCAGTTGTGATTCAAGGCTGCATATCATTTGGCACTATTTATTACTCGCCCAGGAAGAGATCACCTGTTTAATAAACATACAGCGTGCGTATGTACTGCAGGAACAAGTTTCATTAACAAATATCCCCAAACTCCCAACATCCCTTGGCTAATTCAACGACATTGCGTGTAGAGATGATAGTTCACTGAGAGGAGCTTATGCACACACTATGACCCCAGCAACAATGTTGCTTTTTTATCTGACGCCACATGGCATTGTTTCGCTGGCTGATCTTGCAACACAATTCTGCAAAATACGTCAAAGGGTATTGTAACGTAATTGTAAACTTTAGGGTGCAGGGCCCCGTTCTGCAAGGCGATCGTATCGCACGACAGTCCTCAGTCTGTGAGTTACGATAACCTTAGCGCTATGGTAACCTTGTGAAATTTAAAGGTAGGATGCTGTATGGTATTAAATTAATACGTGTCAACTTTGGATGTGTTTGAAGTATGATTCTGTTAAACTGAATAGGATTATGCTGTGGATCGCATAAATGTCTGCCTATTCACAAACGACAGTGAAATTTTACAGAAAAGTTGTAAAGGGTAAGTAATAAATAGATTACTAAACTCGCTGCCGTGTAATACCAAGTTTATGAAACTCGTGAATAGATCTGGTATATGACCAGCTTTTGCTTCTCAGATACCAGAGCAATTCACTCGTTTCATAAAATTGATATTATACGGGAGCTCGTTTAGCATTCCATATATCATACAATGGGCGGTTCACTCAGGTGTTACATTCTCACGCGATTTCTAAAGTTATTATAATGAAAAGTAATATCATTTAAACTTCTATTTTCAGAATAACATTATATGACAAAGAGATTATTACTCCCATATAAACACTTAATGTGTATATGTATAACAGTTGTAAGTAGAACAGACTGCGCGGATGTTGAAATCAAACAAATTTCTAAAATATTCTTATTTTTTACTCCTAATAAGCATAATCTTTGCCCTTGTACACAGGAGATATAATACAAAATTAACACATCAGTAAATATGCTATCGTGTGACTTGATCAACTTGATTCTCATGGCGCCTAACTCCCATATTTTAACCCTGGGTTACAATAGTCGTAGCACTGAGCACTTTTATGCAACATTCAGATACTTCTTTACGCAATTTGTGTGGTGCTACCGGTGAGCAGGACATAACTTGTCACTGTTATTTTACCTTTTATGCTCAGTAGAATTTGTCTTACAATCGAGACTCTGTGGCACTGACGTTCTGTATATATTTTCTGATGGTATAATCATCATGGACAGATTCGATTGTTCTCAAATTCAGGGTAACTAATAAACTTGAGTAAATGCATTATACAGTGATAACACAAAAACCTTGGTGTAGAAATAGCATTTTGTGCCTATGTAACTAAAATTTAAACACTGGAATAAATAATGATGCCCGAACAATAAGTTCAATAGAACGATTGTATTTGTAACCAGGGCTGTCGGGGAGCCTAGTTGTTAAAGCGTTCGCTCGTCACGCCGAAGACCCGGGTTCGATTCCCGACATGGGTACAATGTGCGAATACCATTCCATGGTGTCCCCCGCCGTGATATTGCTAGAATATTGCTAAAAAGCGGTGTAAAACCATACTCACACATTCACTCACTATATTTGTAACCAACTTAGTTTTAATTTACACTGTATATTCCAGACAACCTTTTTCAACAGGTTATGTTCATTGGTTACTGCACACCATATGTTTTTTTGTGACGAATAGCCCTTGTCATCAATATCTCATGTTTATTTTTCCCAGAATTATAACATGGAGGTTTGTTGGTGTTGGTTTTGAATGTGCTATTTAAAACATTGTAAACAGTTGATCATGGGGCTCACTTTGGTAATAATACCATTGGTATGCGGTTGCCACTGACCATCACTCGGAAAAGTTGGTCCTTGAGTTTAATGGACATTAAATCATTACATCATAATCTTATAAATAAGGTCGTACATTGGATTTACTGTTCTCTTTCTAGACAATATAAAAATAATTTGTTTTGAATCAAAATAACGTTCCAAGTTTTTGCCCATTTTGATCAACATTATCAATTCTATATCTTTATGTGAAGACATACTTGTACCTGATGATCTATGTAGAGCTGTATCAACAGCAAATAACTTCATGTTACACTATCTGCTGCATAGAGTTTATCACGCGATTGTGTTTTGAGATTGTCAATATGTTGACTCTACCGCTGACAGACAAGTACCTTCCTGACCATTTATATCTGTTGCCATTTTCTTGCTGTGACTCGTACCCATTATATGATAACTACCACTTGTGAATACTAGTAATATCACCAATAGTCCGAAACCTGATTCTTGAAGGACTACGGCAAACTCAATTCTCATAAAAGATGCATAGTCGTTCATTACAGTACATTGTTTTAATTTTTCTAAAATATCTTTCAAACTGTTTCAAAAGAGGGCCCTAAGTAACTGATACAAAAATTGAGGACCAAGTGATATTAACCCCAAATTGTCGTGTTTCAGATGCATTTTATGGCAGTGTAGATATTGTGACCAATGGTGGAAATCGATCTGTGGACTCTTGTGCTGCCTTTGTTGTCAACTACGTTGTTGAAGGTAGAGTTTGGTTTGTGTACTTGGTTTCAAATACATGTACATTCTCCTGGTAAGAACTGAACATTGATGACATTGAGACATGAGCATAGGAGGCGGTATCCTGTAACACTTACTATTATATATCTGTCTATTAATTATCATCTTAGATCTGGGGCAAGGTTATTGATCCAATTCCTCCTGCTCTCATATGACTGAAACAGTTGTTGACTGTGATGTGATATTCCCATTTAGGCATAAAGTATCCTTACTTGGAAACACAATACAACATAAACATATATATTGCAATAACGCAAACTGACGAGCAAAAGTAGAAACGTCACCAATCAACAACATCATTACAAGTTATGACAGTTGTTCAGTAATCAATCAATCATCATGACTGAAATCAACAACCTTCAGAATGTCGAACTTGATAGAATCTGCTTTCTTCTGTGAATATGCCAGTTTCTGTTTTACCAGCAAATGCAGTGTTTGAGCCCATCAATGTTTGTTGTTCCGGTGTCAGCGTTACAGCTCGTATTGGTCTGTAAGCTTTGATATTGTACTGACGCAGTCATCTGGGCACCGTCAGCGACTGACATTGTGACTGTTGCAGCTGATCACGTCACCGTGATGATACGATTCCACAGACGGGGGATACGTATACATGTGTCACATTGTCGCGGGTGTAGGTGACAGGTCTCTTGTCCGTCCAGTCTGCCTGTAACAGGCCATGTGTCTTCTGACGTTGTCTCTTCATGTATCATACCAACGGCTTGTTCTCTGTGTTATACGGTTAATCTTAACATGTTATTTGTAACTGCCCAACGTTTTGGGGGTGAATGAACAGTAAGTACAGCGTTCCTTATAAGCGTTCCTTGCAGGTTGGCATCCTTCAAGTGAAGCAAACTTTTCAATTCAAACTCAAGTTCCACACATCTGGGCATTGTTGCACGTGCATTACTAAGCAAATTGTTTCGCTTATTTTCAAGCGATTCTCAACCATGTTATAACACTGTTTGTCGTTTGGATCGTCAGCTATGCTCTTGATGTTCACAATCTTAGTAATTCAAAAGTACATTCCTCCAGCAGTTGTGAGTACAGACATGTCGATTTGACAAGAAAACTGCACACTGGGCTTTTACTACACACAGTGTTTTAAAAATGGTCTTTTATTATATAGAAAATGATTTATTTTACTGTTGTATTCATGATTTGTTTTGAAATCACCATCATCTCTATAGTTATTTGTTTTAGTAAACAGAGAGTAAACGTTTCCAATGTTTCCAAAAGTTATGTTTGAAATGTGACGTATAAAAATCTAAGCTGTTTTCGATTAATAAAAAAAACTCAGCACATTAAAAACATAACTCGTCCCAACCCCAACCCCAACCCCAACCCCAACCCCAACCCCAACTGCCCGACCCTCATATATCAAATGATCTGCCCTCGATAATTTGTCGCCTTTTCTATCTTCCATAGCAATTACAGTTGTTTTTGTTTTACAATATATTCAACAAAACAAACCTACTAAACGTGTATTTTTACCGTGATGTTTGCTGATTGTATTTTACCACATAATTTGGACTTGAATCATGTAAGATAAGAATGAAAAGAATAACTGACTCGCCTAAGCGCTTCCTGTAAAAAAAAAATGAGCGTAGGTGTAGTTTGCAATTCAAGCATCGACTCAATTCATATGACAGATATATCTGCGTATGAGCTTATATCCTTGTATGATACTGTATTGATGATTACTATTTTACTGTTTGGTAGGAAGTGAAAAAGGTTAGGTTGTCGAAACCTCAAACGAAACGTCAACTTAAATAAACAAAAGATGTTTATGGGGTAACAAGCTTCTCCTTTAAACTGGAAGACCAATGAAGTACATATATGTTGAATGGTGTCAATGCGACTGCTATTAGTTTGCTTTACTATGAAAAACAGTTGTGCATAGCCCTAAATATTTTCGATTACATACGACTATCCATCTGGCCATTTATCAGTTATCAAGTACAGGTAAAAGTCCAAAAGTCGACAGAAAGTTTGCGATTAAAATATCTTCCTTTGTAAAACCATAGTCCTTATTCATGCATTTGTATTCCATCAAATGGGTAAGGATCATGCAATGATGTCACTGTTTACAAATATATCTACTCTGTGCTAAATGACCCTGGTTATCCCCTTCAGTCTGGTACTAACTATTTTTTCCCATTCCATTGTTCCATAGTTATCACCTTTAATCTGGTACTGACTTATCCCAGTTCCATTGTCTATATTATGAGTGAGAGAATGAGAATAACGTAGACGACAATTGTCTTACATTAATACAAATCTATTGTATCAATCGTGTAATTTAATATCAACCCAAACACTCGTTGTTTATTCAGCACAACTTATGTGTTGCCGTTAGATTAAGATGACAATGAATTCTGGTAATTCTTTTTGTGATCACCTACACAAAAGGCTTCGACCACAAGTGGTTATTGTTCTGATACTCTCATTGTCAGATAACTGCTCGACGACGTTGACCGCCAGTGAGGGGGAGATAACCAGTCCTGGCTACCCTGACATCCCCACCAACTACCTCACCTGCGCGTATGTCATCATGGGTGATAGACAGAACCAGAGCATAACCATAGACCTGGTTGAGCTCGATCTAAAAGTAGTTTCCGACTGTTCCAACGACTGGCTCATTATAAACGATGGTCCTAAACTGTGCTACAACACAACGTTCCATAAGACATGTAAGCATTGAATCTATCTGAAACGACACTCAAAAAGAGAGTTATATGAAACGCATGATCCTTTTATCTGATTCGTCTATGTGGTCTGTGTGAGTGTGATATCGCTGTGTGATTTGTCTGCGAAGTTGGTCTTTGTGATCCGTCTATGGTCGGTCTCTGTGATCCGCCTGTGTGTTCCACTTGTTTCATACATCTGTGTGATACATGCATATGTCCCGTCTGTATTGTCTATCTGTATGATACACCAATGTGATACGTCTGTATGATATATCTGTATTAACCGTGTGTCTGATCCATCGGTGCAATGTGTGTGTGTGATGCTTGTTAGTGGTCAGTATGTGATAAGATTTGTTTATTGTAAAAAAACCGGTTCCTTCTAGTTCCTTTTGTCTCAGGCAAACAACTATCCAATTTGAAGTGACTGCCTCGAATCGGTAACAATGCAATGAATGCTGACAATGGCGTTGATCATACAACTCCATCAACGATCATCAACTATATTGATGTTGCAGATGTGTTTCGGGATAGATTTATCATCAAGTTCAGAATTGATGGCAGCAGCACCAGAAGCGGGTTTAAGATACGATATGCTACTGGCAAGGGCGCACACGGTACACTTTGACATTACCTAAAAAGACATTATTGATTCGTAATAAGCATTTATCGTCTTATCTGTTTTCTCCATAACAATTACAAGTATTTCATGAACATGTGTTTATGATACATTCAACCTCAAATGATAACTGGCAACTTATATGTATTACATTGGTTCAATTGGCCCCCAACGATTGTCTGACATGTTATGACGGTTACTGAACCATAAAGAAAGCTGACCTATATCATGTTTATTCATATTACTTCACCTATTATCATCTTCTTCATTGTAATCGATTGTTGGCATTTGACTTCAACACACTGAATAACTGAAGTCGTCTTCATTTCGTTGGATTGAGTATTGTTGAGATAGAGAATGAAATATTGGCATACATTTAACTCCAATGTTGTAGACAACTGCACCTCAATCCACTTGAAGACATCTGGACAGATATCGACGCCATGTTACTCCTGCAACTGCACCATCTGCAACTCCACCAACACCATCATAGGCAGCGGGAAGTTGCAAACACTAACCCTGGACTTCGTTTCTCTTAACTTCACGATCAGCTCTAACTGTGATCTCGGATGGTTTACCATAGATGGCGGACCTAAAATATGCACTTCAAACCCCTTTAAAACAACCCGTAAGCTGAAACGCTGATGCTGTCTGTATGATTTTGTGACTAATTAATCAATGATGCTTTCTTTCTACATCTTCAGAGTTGAGAGTTGAAACGAATCAATACATCAAACAATATTCTATTTTTAACACAAAGATAACTGGAATGGTCAATAGGCAAACTGCCTATTTTAAGATATCTAAAATACGAAAAAAACCTTTTCATGATCATAAGAAATCTCTGCTAAAGGTAGAGTCCATTGTACGATTCTGACTATATCATAGGCATATGTTTATGAATATCTATCAAATAGTGAGCGTGTCCTGCCCAACCGGTGTCGCCAGTCACAAACACATGCACAAGCTATTCAATTGTCCAGCTGAAAAACCCTCAAGTTATGGTCAACACGTACAGTAAACTCTGTACATCGATATGGTGTTTGTTGGCTCACAAACTACTGTACACTGTTACATTAATGGTTTCCCTTTGTGTGAGTGCTTATGTCAACAGACACAGCTGCAAATCATTAATACCGTACCGTATTTACATTGTCACGCGGTTTCTAAAGTTTCTATTATGAAACGAAATATTTGCACTTGTAATTCAAAATTGACATATCCTCAGTAAATGCGCTATTGTGTGACTAGATTACAGGTCCATCACTCGATTGCCAGGGTCCGTTGTACAAAGTAATCTTAGCACTTATCGTAAGGATTTTATTTTAATAAAGACAATTATTATGTACAGTTAGAAATGTATAACCAGTGTCGATAAAGATCAATATTTATCGAACAATACGTACATGAACGAGCAATATAATGTTTAGAAACAGAGTGGAATTTGGAGTATGTTGGAAGGTCTTGTATCACAGGTAGAATGACAAATTCATTTGTTGTAGTAAATTTGACAGATTTTCAGGCGTTCTGTTTAAGAACATTCTGTTAAAAATGCACACTTTATGTTTTTCGGTGACGAGCATCTTCACATGAATTGCCCATATCATTAAATATATATTTTTGTCGGACTGACCATTACTCGGCAACGTCAACCCAAGATTTTAAGGACATTAACTGATTCCATCTTGATTTGTATTCAAATTATCTGACATTGTTGTAACTTCATCGGATACGTTGGCTTTATCTCGTGAAACTTACCCATAATATGATATTTATCATTTAACAAAACAACAAATACAATCAATGATCCAAAAACCGAGTCTTAGAGGAATCCTGTGAGGACAGTTTATAAAAGATGTTTAGTCATATATTACAGTACATTGTTTTCATTTCTTTTTGTACATAACTTTCAAACCGTTTTTAAAAAGGGCCCTCTGCCCCAATCAGATGTAATTTACGGATTTATGACCTTTGCGCTCAACTCAAATAAAATGTTAAGTGCAAGCAAAGATTAACCCAAATTTTTCTTGTTTCAGATGCATTTTTGGACAGTGTAGACATTGTGACCAATGGCGGGGATCGATCTGTCAACTCTTGTGCTGGCTTCGTTGTGAACTACGTTGTTGAAGGTAGAGTTCGTGTACTTGATTCAAATACCTATTTCTTGGAAGGACTAAACAAAGATTCTACCATGACATTGAAGGATGATCTGATTTGATTGGTTAATTTTACTAAATCTGAAGTGTTTAATACGCGAAAAATACTTCTGACTTAGGGCCACTTCACATAGCATAGGAATAGTTTGCATGGTATGACCCCAACATTTTGAAATTTTAGCATTTTGTCTGATTTACCAGGACAATAGATGGATTTTCAATTACCGACATGTCAGGTATTTCAACATCCATGTTTAATGTTTCCCAGAGTATCCAGGCTGGAATGTCTGGCTTATTTCAAATTGGTAACAGTAGTGTGGACATCAGCAACAACATGTACCTTCGCAATTGAATTGAACTTTGGGCAGCGCCTGATCTAGGTCACAGTTGATTCTATATGAATGAAGGGGTCACGGATTGGTAATGATCTCAACACGCAAAACTAGATCCTCGATCAAATCAATGTTATGTTGTGTCCCGGTTATTTTGTACTACATGTACATATGATGTCAACATTAAAGACCAAAAGAACACATAAAACTCGTTCAGTAATTTCAATGCCTTAATAGAAATTATATTCATTTACCGTGTTTTCTGTTTTCCATAACGATTACAAGTTTTTCGTTGTATACCCATTATACATTCAGCCAGAAAAGGACAAACGACAGCTTATATGTACCTAGATTCTATCAACTGTGTATACTTGTATTTACTATCTATGATGTTTTCCCATTATATTTTCCTGTTGGGTGAGAGTAATGTAACATTTAAGAATGGGACGGTTACTAAAACGAATAAGAGCTGAAATTAAAGAATTAGGACCAACACAATATTAGAGAAGTTTCGCCTGTTTCGAATGATTGGTCTACAATTTGTGGAATTTGATAGGGTGGGAATAAAAGCGACAGAATCCTTGAACATGTGTCTATTGTCAAATTTGGACACGTCCTCCACATGTCTACCATACAACTTTTTCAAAGCTTAAATGAGGCCTTGAATGTTGTAACGCTGAAAGTGTGACGTTTATCTTAGTGCTTCAGGTGAGGATGACCAAACTCAGTTGAACATTATCGCTGATTCGTGAGTGTAGGTGTAATTTGTAAAAAACATAATTCTACTCAATTCGTGTGACAGATATATCTCAGTGTGGACAGCCTTATTGCGTTGTCTGTTTCAGTATTGATGCTTATGAGTGATTTGGTGAAACCTGAAACGAGAAATAAGCTTTTTAATATAAAAGATGCATATGTTGTTACAAGTTTCTCCTTTAAACTGTTAAAACAATCAAATGCACAACACGTGTAAAGGGTTTGAAATACGATTGCTATTATATTATTTCACTTTGATAAACAATTGTGTACGGCCCTTAAGGTGTTTCCTATACGTATGGCGATTATGAAAACATATAGAAAACTAAACATTATACAATGTACAACTTCTGGACCTTACAGTTTTCTTATTTACCCACCAACGTCTAGTATGCCCATCCAACACTTAAAACTAAACATACATGAAAGTCAATCAAGCCTTTAGTTACTAATATTGTATCGGTAAAAGTCTGCGACATAATTATCTTCCCTGCAATCATGTCACTGTTTTACAAATATATCAACTCTGTGCTAAATGGCCCTGGTTATCCCCTTCAGTCTGGTACTAACTATTTTTTCCCATCCCCATTGTCTATAGTTTTGAAGAGTGGGAATGAGAATAAACGTATCCTATCGTAGGCATTGTACATCTGAAATAAATACAAATATATTTGTAACTCAGTGTTATAAATTTGAAATTTGAATTCAACGCAAACAATCGGGCTTTTAAATTGGCATAGCTCCTGTGTTACTGAGAGTTTAAGATGATCAAGCATTTGGGTAGATCGTTATCCGATTACCATAAAAAAAGGCTCAGACCACAGGTGCTTACAACATCATATCGTAGAAAAGGAATGTCTTGCATAAATACAAATAATCCAAGATTCATGTTTCACAATTACGCAAACAATCGTGTTGTAGTTAGCACAAATCATGTGTTCCTGTCAGCTGAAGACGATAATGCATTATGGTAATTCGTTATGTGATCACCGTCAGAAAAGGCTCAGACCACAAGTGGTTCAAAGTCCTGTTTTCTCTCACTGTCAGATAACTGCTTAACGATGTTGACCGCCAGTGAGGGTGAGATTACCAGTCCTGGCTACCCTGGCAACTACATGAACAACCTCAACTGCACGTATGTCATCGTGGGGGATGGGCAGACCGAGAACATCATCATAGACCTGGTTGAGCTGGACCTGGAATCCACTACCGACTGCCGCTATGACTGGCTCGTTATAGACGATGGTCCTATACTGTGCAACCCCACACCGTTCTATAAGACATGTGAGCATTGAATCTATCTGATACAACATACAAAGAGAGAGAAATATGAATCGCGTGATATGTGTGTGTGTGATCCGTCTTTGTTACACGTGTATTTGGTCAAATTATATCACCCGTTCCCGTAACCGGTATGAGGGCTATGTCGTTATGTCTGTGTGCTCTCTGTGTGTGACGTGTCTGTATGATGCGTTCATGTTATCCGTTTGAGTGATACGTGCATACCATATTATGTGTGATACGTCTTTGTGATACGTGCATGTCATCTGTTTGTGTGAAACGTCTGTGTCATCTGTGTATATCATCTGTATGCGTGATACGCCTGTGTGATGCGTGTATATCAAGTGTGTGTGTGATACGTCTGTGTGATGCGTATATATCATCTGTATTCGTGATACGTCTGTTTGATGCGTGCATGTGATTTGTCTGAGAAGTAGGTGCATGTCACCTGTAGGTGTGATACGTCTGTGTGATACGTGCATGTGATCCGTGTGAGTCATATGTGTATGTCATCTGTATGTGTAATATGTCTGTGTGATACGTGCATGTCATCTCTATGTGGGATACGTCTGTGTGATACGTGCATGTTATCTATACGTGTGATACGTCTGTGTGAGACGTGCATGTGATCCGTGTGAGTCATACGTGCATGTCATCTGTATGTGCGATGCGCCTGTATGATGGATGCGTGTATATCATGTGTGTGTGATACGGCTCTGTGATATGTGCATGTCATCGGTATGTGTAGTACATGTACGTCTGACTGATACGTGCATGTCATCTGTATGCGTGGTACGTCTGAGTGATGCGTTCATGTGATCCGTATGAGTGATAGTGCGTGTCTTCTGTATGCATGATACGTCTGTTTGATGCGTGCATGTGATTTGTCTGAGTAGTACGTGCGTGTCACCTGTTTGTGTGATACGCCTGTGTGATACGTGCATTCTATCTGTATGTATGATACGTCTGTGTGATACGTGCATGTTATCTACATGTGTGATACGTCAGTATGATACGTGCATGGTATCTATACAGTGTATGTGCGATACGTCTGTGTGATATGTTCATGTTTTCTGTATGTATGATACGTTTGTGTGATACGTGCATGTGCACCGTGTGAGTCACATGTGCATGTCATCTGTATGTGTGATACGTGCATGTCATTTTTTGCTGTGATACTGTCTGTGTGATACGTGCATGTGATACGTCTGAATGATACGTGCATGTCATCTGTTTGTGTGGTAAGTCTGTGTGAAACGTGCATGTCACCCTATATGTGTGACCCGTCTGTGTAAAGTTATTTTATCTCTATGTGTAATACGTCTGTGTGATACGTGCATATTATCTGTATATGTGATACGTCCATGTGATATGTGCACGTTATCTGTATGTGTGGAACATGTACGTATGACTGATACGCTCATGTCATATGTATGTGTGATACGCCTGTGTGATACGTTCATGTCATATGTATGCGTGATACGTCTGAGTGATACGTGCATGTCATCTATATGCGTTGTACGTCTGAGTGATGCGTTCATGTGATCCGTATGAGTGATACGTTCATGTCACCTGTATTTGTGATACGTCTGAGTGATACGTGCCAGTTATCTGTATGCGTGATACGTCTGAGTGATACCTGTATATGTGATGAATCTGTGTGTTGCGTACATGTGATCCGTGTGGGATTCGTGGAAGCCATCCGTGCATGTGATCTGTCTGTGTGATACATGCATCACTTTGATACGTCCAAGTAGTCCTTCTGTGTGATACAACTATATGGTCCTTATTGTAAGAGTTTCGACTTTTTACCAATGCAACTTATGTTTACAAAGGCGTTCACACATACTGATCAACTCCATCAATTTTTAACGATTATTGTAACAACGTTTTTGTTTCAGATGCCTTTCTGGATAGATTCGTCATCAAATTTGGAACTGATGGCAGCAACACTAGAAGAGGGTTTAAGATTCGATATTCTTTTGAAAGTGACGCACACGGTATACTGTCTTTTTGCCTTAATGGACATTATTGACTCGTCATGATCGTTTATCGTCTTTTCTGCTATCTATCACAATCAGTCAAATGTGTGTATTTACCATCTATAATGTTTGCCTATTGTATTTTACTAAACCTGTTTGACTTAAAGGGTTACTGAAGTTTCATTTAAAATATACTGGCCAAACCCATGCCCTGGTATTTGAGGCGTTTTTTCTGTTCCTGATGACGGGTCTACAAATTGTAAAATGTGTGCGAAGAAAACAAATCGGCTTGCTTTGTAGGTACTAATCTAAAGACTAAAGTCCAATTTGAGTCTACTATAACTGAAAGAGTGACACTGAACTTAACGCTTCCGGTAAAGAAGAACAAAATCACTAGTACATTCTTGATGATTCGTGAGTGTGGGTTGTAAAAACTAAATTCGACTCAACTCATGCATCAGATATATCTGAGTTTGAATAGTCTTAAAGCGTTGTAGAGTTCAGTTTTGATGTACTGTTTAGTCGGAAGTGAAAACAGTAAAGTTGTTGAAAGCTTTTTTTATTTCCTTAAACATGCTGGGGGTTGGAATTGATTATGTTAAGGTCGAACAAACACTGTAACTCGAATTATGTTTAAAATCGGAAGGATTAAGATCTGTTATAACAATTTACCGCACTTTGTATTACAATTTGCCGCAGTATGTTACAGTTTGCCGCTCATGCCTCTCAACAGGAAAGACAAAAATTGAAACAAAATCGTGTTTTTATTTTCAAACTTCATGTACCATGATGTTTCTTTGTATATTTGCCAATGAATAATATTTCATTACAATTTACCGCAGTGTTTATTACAATTTGCCACAGTGTTTATTACAATTTACCGCAGTGTTTATTACAATTTGCCACAGTGTTTATTACAATTTACCGCAGTGTTTATTACAATTTACCGCAGTGTTTATTACAATTTACCGCAGTGTTTATTACAATTTACTGCAGTGTTTATTACAATTTGCCACAGTGTTTATTACAATTTACCGCAATGTTATATTTTACCACAGATTATTACAATTTACTGCATTATAACGATTTACGTCGGAACAGATGATTGACATACATTTAACCCCATGTTGCAGACAACTGCACTTCCATCAACTTAAAGACATTTGGACAGATATCGACGCCATGTTACTCCTGCAACTGTACCTACAACAACTGCACCAACACCATCATAGGCAACGGAAAGTTGCAAATACTGACCCTGGACTTCGTCTCTCTCAACTTCACGACCAGCGCTAACTGTGATCTCGGGTGGTTAGCCATAGATGGTGGACCAAGGATATGCCCTTCAATCCCTTTCAAAAAATCCTGTAAGTAGAATCTGTATGATTTTCTACGTTGCTTTCTTTCTACAACTTCAGAGGTGACTTCTGAAGCGAATCAATACATCTGAAAGTGTGACTAATTGTTATTTGAGATGCTACTGGTTTAAACAATATTATATTTTCGAAACGAAAACTGGATTCGTCAATAGTTAAATCTGCAAAACAAATATTTATCAAATAATGATCAATGCTTTTAGAAAGCTCTGTTCATTGATGTGCCGTTTACTGGCTCATAAACTATTGTATAATATTACCTTAGTGGTGGTTTTCCAATGTGTAATTGCTCATGCAATGATCATTGATCATTGATCATTGATCGACAGTGATCCATTCACATAATTTCCAACGCTGTTTTGCCTTTTACACTCAATGGAATGTGTCTGACAATCGAGACTGGTTACTCTCTGGCATTAACGTTATATAAATTGTAATGGTAAAACTTCAATTATTCTCAAATTCAGTGTATCTGATAAATAGCAATTATCGAATAATACATTTGTACCTTGGTGTAGAAATCGTATTTGATCGTATGTAAGTTGAACACTGGAATAAATAATAAAGCCACAACTATCAGTCGAAAAAAACGATTAAAACGACAATTCAGGTTAATGCAACTTAGTAAAAGTATACACTGAATAATCTGGTAAAGTCGTGTTCCATATGTTCTAAATACAGTTTCTACAATTGTTACTGCTTACATGTTTATCGTTATTATTTTATTGAAAAAGACAAAGATTATATGCAGTTAGAAATGTGTAGCCAGTGTCATTAAAAATTATATATTTCGAACGAAGGGAAGCTACTCTAGTCTGTGAGACGGCAAGTTTGTTTTTCTGGCCTGTCATAACGTTACGAAAGTAAGATGTCCACACAGTGACAAAATGAAACAAAGTAACATTTCAGACATATTTCGACCACATACAACTGTTTTAAAGTAGGGAAAAGGACCTTGGAACATGGGAAGTGATCATTTTACGGCGCTGGTGTCCTCGCTTTCTTTATATCTTTAAAGTCGCGAAAACGTGTAAAACATCTCAGTTACGTCCCCATTAAACTCTGATTTTCGGTATCTCAGACTATTGTTTGATAATGATTACAATTATTCGAGTAATCTGTCCATCCAGACCTTCGATGGTTAATTCTAACTCGATCGCTAATAAACAAGGGCGGCGCCATGTTTTTTGGCAAACACTGAAAGTAGTACCTTCCTGACATTATATATTTTCTTCGTTATTGGTATATAAACCAAACGGACACCTTTTCTATCCGTTGTCCTTATTTCGTCGTGAAACTTACCAAGTATATTATACCTATCATTTATGAATAATACAATTACCACCTGTGGTACATAAACGGGACTCCCGTGAGCACAGCCTTTTCTATAATATGTTTAGCTGTATATTACAGTACATTTTTTTACCCTTTTAAATAGCTTTCAAGTCCTTTTAAAAAGAGAGTCCCCTGTCCCACTAAGACGGAAGTCATGTGTTAGGCCTTTGTGCCCTACTCTATCAAAGTTGAGGTGAAATACTAACCCAGACTTGTCTTGTTTCAGATGCATTTTTTGGCAGCGTAGATATTGTGACTCGTGGTGGAAATCGATCCGTGGACTCTTGTGCTGGATTTGTTGTCAACTACGTTGTTGAAGGTACAGTTTGTGTACTTGCTTTCGAAAACATACTTCTGATAAGAACGGAACATTAAACAACAATATCAAGCTTAGTTAAGGTATTGTTCATGCTTTTTGTACATATGGATTCCCCCTTGATGATAAAATAGTGTCAGTTTGAATAGAACAATATTTTTAAAACTGATTACAGCGTCATTAGAAGACAGCGCATGGACGCACACGTTATAAAGGGTTCACCATTTGATTTCTAGGGTATATGGGGCGTGTTATTTTTTATAAAACGACGATAATACGATTCCTGATATTTAGGATACGTGTGTAACGTTTTCTTTGGTGATGGTGACAGGAGGTCCGGGACTTCTACTCCTGCCTCTCACAGGCCGTGCACCTGGTGTCATTCAGCTTCAGCCAAAACTCCTTGCAGCCTGGTCATGCGCTGCTCCTTCATGTATCGTGCCAACGGCTTGGCCTGTTTATTGTCACTGTCCAACCATGTGGGTGTTAATGAAAATTACATCGTCCTTATGACTCCATATCTTTGGTGGTTGGCATGCTGCAAGTGCAGCAACCTGGGTACTGTTGCACGTGCACACTCAGCAAATTGTTTTGGTTATGTTTGGGCACTATTCTGAGTTTGTTCAAATTATAGTTTGGTAACGTTCTTTTTTGTTCGTCAGTTATGCTTTCGTGTCAATCATCCACAATCATAAGTAATTGAAAATTGTATTTCTCCAGCATTTGTGAGTACAAATATGTCACGTTGACCAGTTTTCTGAGAATTGGAAGAAAACTGCACACTAGGCTTTTGCTTCACATGGTGTTGTAAAAATGGTCTTTTATATTGTGTTATTATCATAAATGTTTTATTTTGCTGCTATTTTTATTGTTGTGTTTTAAAATTACTACTTCTGTACATGATGTTTTAGTAAACAGTGAAAAAATTATAACAGTCGTTTCATAGGTTTCGTTTGAAATGTGACGTAAACAATCTCACCTGTTTTTATGTGAAGAAAAAGACCCATCGCATTAAAAAAGCCACCTTTCAAAACCCACCCACACACATAGACACACCCAACCCCTAAATATCTAATGGTCCACCCCTAATCATATATCATCTTTAATGTTTTCAATAAGAATTACATGTAACTGGTTCCACATTTGTATGATACAAATGAACTGGAGGAACAATCAAATACATATAAAATTGTTAAAGGTTGGCAATACGAATGCTATTAGATTGGTTCATAATGATAAGCAATTCCGCACGACCCTAAATACGCTTTATGTGTATGACGATTAAGAAAACATAATGAAAGCTAAACATAAATAAAAGTCATTCAATCTGGCCATTTGTCAGTTATGAAGTATAGCTGAAAGTCCAAAAGTCGACTGAAAGTTTGCAACATGGATTTCTTCTTTTAGTCCTTATTTATGCATATGTGTTCTATCAAATGAGAGAGGACCATGAAATGATGTCACTATTTTGAGCTAAATGACCATCGTTATCCCCATCAAGTTGGTACTGACTAATCCCCTTTTCATTGTCTATGTGTTTAACAGAGTGAGAATGAGAGAGATATCGTATCGTAGAGAATGAATATCTTACAAAAATATGAATAGTCCATGTAATACATGTCACAATATTGAATCAACACAAACAATCATATCGTCTCAGTATAACTTATGTGTTACTGTGAGGTAAGATGATAATGCCCTCGGGTAGATCGTTATTGATCAAAGTCAGGGAATGTTTTCACCGCAGGTGGTTATCGTGCTGTTTTCTTGCATTGTCAGATACTTGTTCGACGACATTGACCGCCAGTGATGGGGAGATTACCAGTCCTGGCTACCCTGGTACCGGCTACAACTACCTCAACTGCACGTATGTCATCATGGGTGATGGGCGGCACCAGAGCATCACCATTGACCTAGTTCAGCTGGACCTGGCAGTCGCTACCGACTGTAACTCCGACTGGCTTATTATAGACGATGGTCCACGACTATGTTCAACCGCAGCATTCCAGAAGATATGTAAGCACTGACTCTATCCGAAACGACATACACAGTAAAAGCTACATGAAAGGCCTGATCCGTGTGTGCGACCCGTGTGAGTGTGACATGTCTGTGTGATCAGTCTGTGTGAACTGCCTGTGTGATCCGACTGCACAATGCGTCTGTGTGAACCGTCTGCAAGACCCATATGATATCGTGATAACGCTATGTGATCCGTGTGTGTGTTTGTGAATCTTAAGTGTGATACGTACATATGACCCGTCTGTGTGATCTCTCACTACGATATGTCTGTGTGAAAACGTTTAGTCCTCAAATGATACGTGGGAATAGAAATCGAAGGCTATGTGTTCATTGCCCAAAGCGAGGGACAACTTTCACTTTTAGTTCGTTTTGCCTCAAGCAAACGCCTTATGCTTTATGCTAAGATGTTGATCATATCTCCATCAATGATCATCATAGCAACGTTTTCGTTTCAGATGTCTTCCAGGATAGATTCACCATCAAGTTTAGAACTGATTACAGAAGCACTAGTAGAGGGTTTAAGATGCATTACTCCATTGGCATGGTCGCACACGGTACACAATGTCATTACGTTAATAGGCATTATTGATTCGTGTGTCCTGTTCTCCATAACAATTACAAGTGTTCCATTAAAATACTTTTATGATACATTGAACCATAAATGTTAACTGTCATTTTATATATAACTAGAACCTGCTAAATATGCATATGATTTTTAGGTCATACTTTCCTCTTTTGAACTGGAAGAGCAATCAAACAGCAATTATGTAAAAGGTTGTCAAAATGACTGATTGGTTTATTATGCTAAACATTTGTCGTCGACCCTAACGATTGTCTATGATGTATGAGAACACAATGGAAGCTAAACTATATCATGTGTCTTAATTTCTTGAACTATGGTAACCTTCTTCACATGGGATTGTTGAGACAGGGAATGCAAGATGATTGGCATACATTTAACCCACATTTTGCAGACAACTGCACTTCCACCCACTTAACGACATCTGGACAGATATCGACGCCGTGTTACCCCTGCAACTGCACCAAGAACGCTTTCACCAACACCGTTATAGGCAGTGGGAAGATGCAAATACTAACCCTGGTCTTCGTTTCTCTCAACTTCACGACCAGAGCAAACTGTGATCTTGGGTGGTTTACCATAGATGGCGGACCAAAATTATGCACTGCAACACCCTTTAAAAGAACCTGTAAGCGGAAACAAATATAATGTCTGTATGTTTTTTCTTAGAAATATATCTATGCTGATTTCTTTCTACAGCTTGAGAGGTGACTGTTGTAAGGAATTAATATATCTGAAAAGCGTGACTGATTGTTTTTTTAGATGTCCGTGGTTTGAACAATACTTTATTTTGAAAAACGAAAAGTGCATTGGTCAAAAGGCAAACTGCCTATTTTAGGTCATATCCAATACAAGTTTTTAACAAACATGGTGAACACTTGGTAAGCTCTGTGCAGCAATGTGGTGTTTACTGGCTCACAAACTATTCTACAATGTTATCAAAGTGATGGTTTCCCGTTGTGTGAGTACTAATGAAAACAGACATGGCTGCAAATCAGTTAGCACTTGATGTATGTCATACATGAGACGGTTTACCCAGGTTTTGCATTCCTTCACGGCTCCTAAACTTACCATTATGAAAAGCAATATGTCTTAAAGTTCAATTCTCAGAATAACATTATATGATAGAGAGATTTTTAGTCAATAACGAAAATATAATATATTGGGAATAAAATAATACAATTTTTATTCTGAACATAAGATATTTACGACACTCTCGGATAATGATAACACGTCAGACAATTTCATATAGACAAAGGGGCAATTGCCTACACGTGTTATTTCCTTTCGCTTTAATCCATCATTCCGCCCACTTGTGTACTTGCCCTCTATCAAAGGGAAGCTACTGTAGTCTGTGAGACGTCAAGTTTGTTTGTCTGGAATGTCGTAATGTTATGAAATCCATTAAGACGCCAACAGCTACAAAATGAAACAAACCAACATTTAGGACAGATTTCGGCCGAATCCGACTGTTTTAAAGTGGATGAAAAAAAACAATCGGCAGAGGTCTGAACGCATTTATTTGTGGAAAGTGATCCTGCCAGGCCGCTAAATATTTATCTTTAAATTTAGGTCTTCAAAGGTTCCAAAATTTGACAAAATGCCCCAGATACGTCCTTATCAAACACTCAGACAATTATTTTATAATGATAGTCATTCGAGTAATTTTTCCAGATCCCCGATGGGTAATTCTGACTGGATCACTGATAGACAGTGACGGCACCATTTTCTTTGGAAAACACTGAAAGTCGTATCTTCCTCACCTTTTATGTGCAACTGTATTGTCATATAAACCAAAAGGATACTGTTTTCATCAGTTGACTTTACCTTGTCATCAAACTTACCCATTATATGATAACTATCTTTTGTGCATACCAGAAATACAGTCCCGCGAGCACAGATTTTATGTAATATATATTGCAGAATATTATGACGGTACATATTTTTTTCTTTAATAACCTTCAACCCATATGAAAAGAGGATCCTCCATCCAACTAAGACGTAAATTAGGTGTAAGACTTTTGTGCCCAGCTCTATCAAATTTGATGTTCAAGAAAAATTAACCAAAACTTGTCTTGTTTCAGATGCATTTTTTGGCAGTGTAGATATTGTGACCAATGGTGGAGGTCGATCGGTCAACTCGGTTGGATTCGTTGTTAACTACGTTGTTGAAGGTAGAGTTTGTGTACTATGTTTGATATACATGCTTCTTGTAAGAACTATAAAGGAACATGATAAGACTAGAAGTCTGTTTTCTTTAAAAGACAACACAGTTAAAAGTCTGTGTAAATAAGAACCACACCCACCATCTTACTATGTTCAGCCTCAATAAAATCTATCGACTGCAATATGGCCATTTTCATCAATACAGAGTAATTCGAGAGCAAAGCCATACTATTTTGGA